CTGCCCCACACTTCCATACTTGTTCCCACTCAACCAGAACCTTTCCAGCTAGCTGATGAGACAGACATGCAAGAGCCTCTTCCAGGGTGGGATTTAAAAGATATCTTTAGAAATCTTTGCAATCCTAAGTCATGAGGCCATGTCCCGCCTCTCTCCTCTATTTATTCTCACTCATGATTTCACCCAGGTTTAAATGCCATCTGGATCCCAGTGACTTCCACATTTATATCTGCCATTCTCTCTCCTGAAATCCAGACTTGTGTATTGAACTGCCCACTCCTCACCTCTTCTTGGATGCCCAATAGACATCTTAAGCTTACCACGTTTGAAACTTCTGATTCCCTTTCCTACTCACTAATAGGCTTCATCACAGCCTTCCCCAACTTCACTGATGGGAGTGTCTTCCCTCCAGGTGCTTAGGCTAAAGGCTGTACAGTCATCCTTGACTCCTCTCTTTTTCTCACAATGTAAATCCAACCTATCAAGAAATCTCATGGCTCTCCTTCAAAATATACCTAATCATTCCTCACCATCCCCTTCACATTGGCCTGGGATCATGACTGACATTGTTGAATCATTTGGATGGTTGCAATTATCTCCCAGCATTGACCCTTGTCCCTCTACAGTCTCTTTCCAAATATGTAACCAGAGTGATCCTTGTCAGCAGATCATGTCACTCTCTGCTCAAGGTCTTAGACTGATTTCTCATTATAATGGCCTCCAAGAGAAAGACCGATGGGGAGGACTGACGCATCTGGAACAAAAGCCTACATCTTCTTGGGTAACTGTGTGCTAATGAAGGTAGTGCTACGGTGTCCTTCTGCATGATGCTGATTTCCACCAGTGTTCCCATGCCATGGCACAGGCAGGAGTTGCAGAAAGCTTGGGATGGGATGAACAAGAACTTTGAACGTGCCCACAAGTTCTGTGGTTAGTTTCTGTCCCTTCCAAGTGGAAACAAATGCAAAAAGCAAGGAGATGGCTCTCGAAACTGAACCAAAGTTAGAATTAAGAAAAAAACATGCTGCCCAGTTTCATGCAATGCAAAAGTACCATCATTACAACTAGGTTTAAGATCTCAGAGCTAAAGTTTTCTCCATCCCTAGAGAGGAAGCATGATGGGAAGACGAGGGCATAGAAAAGTTCCCAGGAGGACCTGTGTTTGAATCCTTGCTCTCTCACTATGAAAGTCTAGATTATTGTTTAGGAAGTGTTCACTTCCTTCTCACCCTGACCTCCACGGGTGGATTTTGATGTTGGCTTGGCCATGTCTCTTGTTTTGGCCAGTTGAAAGTGGATAGAAATGATGGTTTGTGAGTTTCAAGCATAAGCCTTAAGGAACATCACATATTTCTGACCTCCACCATAAGAAATACTTGCCAAGGTATCTATCCTGATCCCATAAAAGAAGGGCCATGTGGAGCCAAGCTGCCCTTGCTGACCTGCAGGCCTGCAGCTGCGATGGGAGAAATCAGTGCTTCTTGTCAAATGCTTATTCATTGTGCAGAAGTTGCTGACTTATACAGCTACTTACTAAATGGGTGTCCCTGCCACATTGCTTCACTTCTTTGGTTTCCTCAGATGTAAACTGGGACGGCAATCAGACCCACTTTGAAGGTGGGTACTTTCACCAGCTGGGTGCCCAGTGATGGTGAGCACCAGGGGTGCTGCCCGAAAAGCTAGCAGCCCAGAGCCTGAGATGGGGAAAGTGTTCAGTTGCATCCTTACTCGTGATGCTCAGCATGCTGCAGAGTGGGTACCACATCTGAGTGAGAGGGTAAGTTGAAGCTGTGCTGGGGTGTGGTTCTGGGGAGCAGCAGAGTGGCTGGGGGTCGAGGTCAGGTGTCCCCGGGTAATGTGGTTGGGTGGACATGGGGGCAGGGATCAGTTTCCTTCCATCTCACTCAGAAGTATGGAAGCAGGAGACTCTGATGGATGTCCCTGAGCAGGTCGTGTTGTCTCCCCCGGCACTCTGGGGCTAATGCCATTATGTCTCCAGAGCCCCTGCGGAGGCTTCTGGGCTTGTGTTTCCCACCCACAGCCTGCTTCCTAGTGAATGATTCCCGTTTCAGAAACCCCTCCACTTGCCACCAGGCCAATCTTCCGCAGGCTGGCTACCTCAGGGACTTGAGCGGATGGAAGAGTGCTGGTGCTCTCCCGCTGAGCAAATCAGTCCCTTTCGGCCACAGTGTCCTGGGCGTAGTGGTGTCGAGGCCATTCCCACTGGTAGGGCCATCATTATCCCTGCGGCTGTGATAAAGCTGCTGCTGGGAACATCTCCATGATTGCCCAGAGTTTAAGAGCACAAATGCCTGTCATTAGGAGGCCTCAAGCCGTTACCGCTCCCCACGTGGGGTCTCTTTACCTTGCTTTCATTCCCTTTTTCCTTGGCCATGACAGATAGATTATGAGGGACTGAAGGAGAATGGCTGCTCCCACTCCCTTCCATTTGCATTTCTAGGGCAATTTCTTCAAATAGGTCTTCTGCCTAGACTCCTCAGAAGGCATCAAGACCCCTCAAGACCCAAACCCCATTTCCTGTTACTCCCTCTGTCCCTGTCACTGCTATGGCAGGGGCCACTCACGCCTCCATTAATTCAGGCCCTACGCATATTCATTGTGTATACTATGGACACTGCAATGAACCGCTGTGGAAGGGAGAGTTTCTCCCTCTGCGCTCTTCACAGTCCTTGTATGCTCTCCTCGCCTCAGATGGCACTCTCTGTGCTTGGAATGTCCTCCTTCCTTCCTTCTCTTTTTCCCTCCTTCCGGCCTGCCTTCCTCCTTCCTCTCCTTCCCCCACTCCTCCTCTGCTCACGTCTCTCTTTCCCCAGCAAATAGTCATTCATCTATTCAGTTCTTAACGACATGGCACCTGCTTTGTGCAACCTTGCCATGTGTTCTAAGCAGATTTTCTGTGATCCCAAAGATTTCTCTTTAGATTTTTCACACTGTGCTTGTTACAAAATTGTCTACAGTGCCCTACGATCTGTCTCTCCGCCCAGCGAGTGAGGACCTGGTGGACAGAAAAAGTGTTCTATTGATCTATCTCATGGCACCTAGGAGCCTCTCAGTAAGGATTTGTGGCGTGAGTGAGCAAACAGCTGAAGGACAGTCTTGGGTTTTCCCACTGCTAACCCACTTCAGCTATGGCCGAAGTGCGTCCTTCTCCGTTCCCAGGTTGCTGATGGGGCGGCAGTCAGCGGGGACGCTTCATTCCAAAGAGATGAAGCTGAAATTTCCCTCAGCCGCAACGTGGCCATCCACCATTGGTCCCAACGAGACCTGTCCCACTGGCTCTCCAGCCCCTTGTTTGCCCCAGAACTGGTACCTGTTCCTGAGGAAGGCCACCCTTCCGTGGCATGGACCCCTGTGGGTGTTTTCATTTTCGGTAGCAACCATGCCACTTAATAGGCATCAGACCCGGGTTGGGGGTGAGGTGGGGAGGAAAGTCCCGCTAATGATGGACTCTGCAGCTGGCAATCGGTTAGAGTGGGTGTTGGGGCTTAATGTGCAATTTCATGGTTTTTCATGGTCTCTACACTGCAAATTTGAGATGATTGAAAAACATTTTATTTAATTTTCATGCTTTTTTAATCAAAAAAGTTAATAATATTTTATGGGCAGTTAAAAATGTGCTATTTGCACAGGAGACAGAAATGCCCTCTCCGGAGGAGTGACCCAAGTGGGCACCTAGAGAGGACTCCACAGGGGCTTTGCTGAGGAAGGGTGGGATGGTCTTGGAGACAACTCATTCTTTCAGGTGATGTCCATTTAGGTGCCCTGGGATTCTCCAAGTTCATTCACCGCCCTACACCCCATCCTTTTCATATGGAAGTGACTCGGGAGTGAGCACCTTGTGGGGAGGGCTGGGGTCAGGCCATCTTTATGTTTAGGGAGCCTCACCTGCTATCTGTCAGGGGCAGAGGTGCAGAAAATGTTTTCTGAATGAATAAATGAGGGAATGTTTTCCATACTCCCACTCTGGCAGTCCAAGGGGAGACCTGAAAGCATTCACTCTGTCTTTTCCCCATCGCCACTGGAAGCAGAAGCAACAGGCACAGCTGAGCTCCTCGCTTGGCGGAAGGGGACTCTGAGGGCATGTGGGTCTAAGAATGTTGGCATGCTGCTTTTTACTTTGGTGAATTCATTATTTACTTATTGCTTAATTCAAAAATCCCAGACCCATAAGGACCCGAGAAACTGGGAGTTCAATTTCTTCACTTTACAGATGAAGAAACAGAGTTAACATGGAAGAGGCTCCTTGTTGGGACTTGAATCCCACTTATCTGCTCCCTCCTAATTAGTTAAAAAAAAAACTTTCTTTTTCTGTAATACTTTTTTCATCTCTTGTCGTGAGCTGTTACTCTTCCCAAATTCTGGGATTGCTTTGGGAGAAGTAGCCCCGTTTTCCTTCTACCCCCTGCAACTTTGCACAGTTCTCGTTTTTCTGCTTAAGGATTCTGTGCTTGGAATGTCCTCCTTCCTTTTGGAAACCCAAAGAAATGGACAAAGTCCTCTAGAGAAGTAGAGCACATACAGCAATGCAGAAAGATGCCCCAGTCTGAAAAGGGACCCAGGGACACAGAGAAGGAGATTTGGTCCAGCTCTGGAAATGTTGAGGTTGGAGCCAAACTACCTGGTGAATGCTTTTTCAATCATATAACTGGCAAAGCCCCAAATGTGGCCAGCTGATATGGCGGAGTTTGTCAGCTAGTAGAGTCCCCCAGCTCATTACCAATCCATGGGATAACGATGACCATCATCATAATAATCATTATCGCCTTAGACAGGCATGGATGACAAAGGCACCCCGGGGACGTCCTTTTGAAATGAGCTGCTTCTTAGCCAACCCTGACTCTCCAGAGTGACTTTCTAGAGAATTAGAGGATCATGAAGCTGGAAGAGGCCCTCTGAGATCATCAGTTCTGGCTTTCTGCCTCCAGACAGGACTAACCTTTATAGAAGAGTTGCTGTATAGGAAATCGAACCAAACTTACTTTTATATGTTATTCTTGTGATAGTATCTCTGTTGAGCATTCGATTAAGAAATGGGTTTGATGAATCAGAAACCTAGGAGAGAAAAGAAAATATTAACGACTGGGCCGTGCTATCTTGGAATACACATGCCTCTGTACATTCACTTATTCATTCGTATTCATTGAGTGCCTACCCTGTGCCAAAGAGCATGGTGGCTAGAAATTCAGACATTCAAGGCACACACTCTACTCTCAAGAAATCCTAGTCTAGAGAAAGAAGACAGGTGAGTAAATGAATGGTTGTAATGAACTATGATGATTGCTATGATAGAGTTGCAGGCATGATGATATTACGGGAAGACCACCCACATGGGGAGTCTGGGGAGCTGAGTGAGCTGGTTCTTGAGGGATGGGTGGAAGCTATAAGGTGCTTTGCTGGTAGAGTATGTAAAGGAAAAAGGGTAAGGAAATAATTGCCTACAGAGGGTCTGTGCATATGGACACGAGAGTGAGAACTAGGTATGCTCAGGCAAGTACTTCTATGTAGCTGTTGCTGAGGGTACAGGGGAAGGATGGAGGGTACAGCAAGAGAGGTAGGCAGTGGCTAGCTCATATGAGGCTTTGAATGCCATGGGAGGATATTTAAGCTCCATTCTGTAGGGATGAGAAAACATCAACAAGTTTTAAGTAGAGGGTGGGGAGTGACATTTTAGGAAGGGGACAGTTACTCTAAGAAGACAGTGAGAGAGTACCCAGAATAGAAGCATCAGGGGATGAAAAAAAACTCTAAGACATAATATAGACCCTTATATCACTGCTTATCATTACATGACTCAAATATATCATAAGCCATGCCATTCCGTCAGCCAATCATTCATCCATCCATCCATTCATCCATCCATCCATGTGCCCATACATCCAATAAATATGTACCAAATGCCTATTATGGGCCAAACTAGATGACCAGGGATCAGTTCCCATTTTGGGCCCAGACCCCAGGTCTCCAAATTCCTTCTTTGGGAGAACAAGGCAAAGTTCAAGGGGCTCAAGCCAGAGGACCAACATTTAGAGACTGTGATGTGCCCCCACTTAACTGTGTACACTGTTTCTTAAAAACCTCCCTTCTACTCAGTCTTTTCCAAGGTGCAAGAGTTTGTCTCAGTCAGTTCTCTCCTACCTCTCTCAGCCCTGCTCTGTAATTTACGCCTCAGCTGCTAATTGGATGCTGTGACACATCAGCATTTTAAATCTGATTTATTCTGAGGGTTGGAAAAATTGCAGCAGATTATTATTATTAGATAAGCAACAGGTAATTTTTAGTTTGGAGAAAGCTCAGTCTGTTTACTTTCCCTCCATCTGTCTCTCCTTTCCCACACAGTTTCCTGGATGTGCTGTGGTGAGACACACTCCGGGGGGCAGGGGGAAGCTCTGTGAGTGACAATGCTCAGTGGAGTTTGTCAGAGCCCCCCCAAAATGGAGAAAAGTCCCAAGGCAAACACTGCTGCTCCCCAGAAGCTTTCAGGGCCAAATTTAGCTTCCCCTTTGGCCTCCTCTTTGGCCATCTGAAACATAGCTTGATGCTGCCTGTTTGTGCTAATTCACATGAGAGGGAAGAAAAAAATATACTGTCATGGTCAGTAAGGAACGTGTCATGCCCCTTGTACCTTGGGTTCCTGGTCCCCAGGGAGTCTGGACGGCACGAATGTTGGGACTGGACCGTTTGGGCCGATTAAAAATAACTGACAAATTTCCAGAGTGCACACAGATGATTTGTGGGCTCTGGTGTGTTGGCGGCGTGGGAGGGAGGATGAAGTATGTACTTGGTATAAGTGAGCTTAAGTGGGAAGTTAATGGTGTGTGATTGAGCAGTAATTACAGCCAAATCTCAGTTCCCTGTGGTCATGGATGGGAAGGATGGGGGAACAGGAGGGGACAGAGATAAATAAAACCCACAGATAAACAATTCTCTTATTTTAGCCAACAACTCTGAGCCTTGTATGGCTCTGGTTTTGGCCAGGGTGCCATCTCTAGGGACCATCTGACTCAGAGGAGGGAGCCTCTCATTTGCTGTGCCTGCCTACCTGGCAGCGAGCTGAGAAGAGGGGCAGAAAGACCAGAAGGAGGGGAGAACGACCAGAGGTGGGGTGCCCTTAGAGCCAAGGGCTCTGTTCATCTCATTTCTAGGCATGTGCCTAGCACAAGACCAGCCTGTGTGCCACACTCAGTCGGTGTTTTGGGATGAGTGAGTGACAAGTCTTGCTTGGATAATTCACTGTGGAGCATGTGGGAGTTGGTTAAGTTGGACAAAGAAAGGCTGTGGCTTATTTTGAGATCCAGTGAGAAAGCTTCAGGTTTGCTGAGGGAAAGAATGGAAGCATCCCTAGGGAGCTCAGCTGGCCTGAGAAGATGCAGGAGCTGGTCCCCATCCTTTCACCGAATGCAGGGCAGGGAACATAAGTTCCTCCCAACAGCCCACTGGGATGTAGGCAGCTGGGAGCTGTGTCAGTCATCTTCCTGTAAGTGCTTTGGAAACACACCCATGGTCTGCTGTTGAGGGAGCTGACTTCCTGGCTTATCCAGCACCCTGTCGGCTGTAATGTGTCTGAGCTTGTGAGACGACAGCTACTGACTCAAGCACTTGGAGCAAAGTGAGGTACCAGCAGGGGCTTAGGCTGAGGCGCCCGCCCAAGGACAAGCAGTGTTGGGCAGCTCAGGGTGGCAGACATGGAACCCTGGCATTGGGAAGGCCAGCAGGGGAGGTGAGCTCCTGGACACGCACGAGGCAATATTGTGACAGATTTGCAGGTTTCCCAGCACTGAGCATGGCCCAGGATGAATGCACCCGTTGTATCAACATCATGACTGAGGCTGGTTGAGGGATACAGAGTTTGGCCTGTGCTTATGTGTGGCATCAGGGCATGGGGGGAGATGTTTCCAGGTCATGTCCTCTCTTCTTCATCTCAGTTGTTTCTCTGTGCTCTGTTGGGGAGGCGTGTGGTATGAATAAGGTCATTAGCGTGAAAGTCAAGCAGGCTCCTTTCCTGGATGGGCTGTCATGAGCTCTGTGCACTTGGGTGGAATGCCAAAGATTCTTTGTGTCATTTTCCTCATCTGCAAGATAAGGATACTGATGGCTGCCTCATGGGTTTATCATTAGGGTTAAGCCGTAAAATATATGGAAAGTACGTATCTCAGTGCCTGGAATTCAGAAATCTGTTGTTCATTATAACAGGGTGTGTGACGATGGCAAGAGGTGTAGTGTAGGGACCGGCAGGATCTATGCCAGGACCCATGTCCTTTGGGGTGTCACATCAGGTGTTCAGAAGGTATGACAGCCCCAAAATATGCTTTCCTGGCCAAAAGCCCCTTCCTGTCTTTGGTAACGACAGCCGCAGGAGTTTTGTGGCCAACAGATGTGTCTGGCTGATGTACAGTTCTGCCCAGGCCACAGAAAGGCCCCGTGGGACCCCCGTGAGGGAGAGGAACTCAGGAGGTGGCGTGGGCTCTGGAGAGGGAGGACCAGGCAGGGTCAAGTGTCTGTGGCAAAGGGTGATGCTTTTGGGGAGGAAACGGGGGTAGTACCTGGGGTGCCCCCGAGCCCAGTCTCCTGGTCAGTGATCATGTCACCATGAGAACTCTGTTAAAGCCCCCCAGTGGCAAATGCTGGATTTCTACCAATCATATTCACCAGATTCCAAGTTCTGACTGGTCTGTTCTCCCATGGTCTGGCCCAAACTAAGGGGCTAGCACAGTGACTACCAACTTTTGAAACTGTCACACATTCCTTTTGTTTTTTCTCTCTCTCCCTCTTTTCCCAATTGGAAAGACATTTCTTCTTTCTTCATTTTCTTTTAAATTTGCATACCTGCTTCCCTCCGTATCTGTCAAAATGTTAAAGGTGATCATTATTATTATTATTATTTTTAATAAACTGGAATTTTCTTAGCTGGAGATCTGTTGTTGCTGTTGACTGTTGGGGAGATGTGGAGCCTCCTAAGAATGTCATAAAGTCAACCTTGGTGATCTTCGCTTAATTTCTCCCAGGGGTGCTTATGAGGGAAAGAGAGAGGAAGATGGGAGATGTCGTACGGAGCAACTTCAGGGAAGCTGGAGGGGACTGTTCAGGGCAGTGCCTGGAGGGGAGGGACATCTCACATTTCCCTTCCAGCTCTGTTTCCAAGGGGCCATCGAGGGACAGGAGCTTAGTGCCATGGGGTGTCAGTGAGCCACCCCTCTCCTTCTGTTGCATCCTTTTGCATGCTGTGGGACCTGAAGCTTGTCCCTAGCTCCAACTCCCCTTTTCTCTCTAGAACAAAGGCTGCCAAATCCTCAGGCTCCGAGGCTCTGAAATGGTTCCATCATTTCTGCATCGTCATGAAAGGGACCTCATTTGTCATAAATCTCATGTGTATCAAAGTCACCCTCCTGCAGCTTTTCTTGGGCATGGACCTTACCCCTTGGGTTATTTCAGAGATCCAACAGAGACCAAGCTGGTATTCTGACCGGGCTGGGAAATGGCAAGAAAAGAATGAAAGAAGGCAAAGACACTTACTTTTATAAATATAGAAACTACCACCAATCCATTAGGGCTCTTTGCAGCTTCTGTGACATTTGTATATAACTCATGGTTATAGTGGATGAGCTGCACCTGGCAAGAAGGAAAAACAAGAGTAAGAACAACAAACTCGCCCAAAAGGTGGGAGGCACAGTGTCTCCTCCCTAGATAAGGGTTCACTCAAAGGTATACTGTAGAACAATTGAAAAGACAATCTTGTAATTGAAAGAGATTCAGGAGGTGTGTGTACATGGATGTGTGTGTATAATGCACACACACACACACAAAAGTACCCATACATCTTTGCAAATGTTTTCTGGTAACAATCATGCCTTTAATAAGCTCAGTGCCCATCTGGCTCTGGCTCCGAGCCAGGATATTTCCCCTAAAGCACGTGTAAAATGAAATTCGCTTTAGGAATTCTCTTATTAGGAGTGTAACTGCCCTTCAGGGGCAGACGTGCCCTCCCAGCTGCGTCCACAGCTGCCATGGGCACTGAGCGAATCTTCCTCGTGGCCTTGGGCGAGCAGGGAATGGTGAGGTTCTGAGTCAGCCCAGTGACTCTGAGAGGATAGTGGCCAGCCTATGAGATGTGGCATCCTGATCAAGAGAGAGTGGTGGCTCAGGCTGCCGATGCCCCAGCCTGCCAAGGTCATCTGCTGGTGCAGGACTCAACTTCCTCCTTGCTGAGTGAAGGTCAGCAAACTGCTTGTTAAGCCCTCGTGCAATAGTTAGCATGGGCAGCAGACAAAGTCTTGGATCTGGCTTCCAGTGAACTAGGTTTTCCCTCTCTTACCTAATTCTTTAAAAAAAAAAAAATGCCTTTTTAAGAAATTGTGAAACATAGCATCCATATATGTCCAAATGAATGCCCCACCAATTTTTAGCCATATGAGTAATAAACTCCGTCTCACTGGAACTTGATTACTTCCTCTGAAAAACAGGTGTGATTGTCTCTCCTTAGAATTCATCTTAGGCTGTGGTTTTAAAATAGATTTTTTTTTTAATAGTATGGAAGTATAATTTTTGTAACAAACTAAAAAAATAAAAAAAGTGATAGTTCCTCCTCCACCTCTGTGTAATCCCAGCCCAAGCAATAGGACTATTAACACTTTAGCATATGTCCTTCCTGATTTTTTTTTGTGCTTATAGATCACACACATATACATGGAGGGTTTTAAAAATAATAAAAGATCCAGGGTCTATACATTTCTAGGATTTTCTAGGATTGAGGATCCTAGAAATTATCTAGGATAGATAAATTCCGAGAAACATATAACCTACTAACACTGAATTAAGAAGAAATAAAAATCTGAACAGATGAATACAAATAAAGAGATTAAAGCAGTAATCAATCCCTCCCTCACCCCCGAACAAAGAAAAGCCCCAGGCCAGATGGCTTTGTGGGTGAATTCTACCAGTCATTCAAATAATTCGCGTCCATCCTTCTTAAACTCTTCCAAAAAAAATGGGAAGAAGAGGGAATACTTTCAAACTCATCTGAGGAGGTCAGCATCACCCTGATACTAAACAAAGACAGACACTTTAGGAAAAGAGAACTACAGGTAATTATTTCCAATGAACACAGATGCAAAAAACGTCAACAAGCTGAATTTAATAGCACACTGAAAGGATTATACGTCATGACCACATGGGATATACTCCCATGCAAGGATGTTTTAACATATGTAAGTCAATCAGTGTGATACACCACATTAGCAGAATGAAAGATAAAAACCACATGACCATCTCAATAGATTCAGAAAGAGCATTAGACAAAATTCACCATCCTTCATGATAAAAACTCTCCACAAAACAGGTATAGAAGGAACTCACCTCAGTGCAATAAAAGCCATATATGAAAAGCTCATAGCTAATATAATCAATGGGGAAAAACTGAAAACTTTTCCTCTAAGACAAGGATACCTACTCTTGCCACTTTGATACAACAGAGTGCTAGAAGCCCTAGGCAGAGCAATTAGGTAAGAAAAAGAAATAAAAGGCATCCAAATCAGAAAGGAGGAGGGAAAATTTTCTCCATAGATGACATAATCATGTATGAAGCATACACTGAAGACTTGCCCACAACAAAACATTGTAGCACTAATAAATGAGTTCAGTACAGTTGTAGGATACATACTCAGTATACCAAAATTGATGGCACTTCTATATACTAACAAGGAACTATCTGAAAAGGAAATGAATAAAGTCAATCTCATTCACAATTGCAACAGAAAGAATAAAATACAATTGCCCTTAAACAACACGGGCTTGAACTGAGCTGGTCCGCTTACATGCAGATTTTTTTTTTTTTTTTGATACATGCAGTACAATATTGTGAAGGTATTTTCTCTTATGATTTTATTTATTTTTAATTTTAAGATTTTTTTTTATTTGACAGAGAGATCACAAGTAGGCAGAGAGGCAGGCAGAGAGAGACAGGAGGAGGAGGCAGGCTCCCTGCTGAGCAGAGAGCCCGATGCGGGACTCGATCTCAGGACCCTGAGATCATGACCTGAGCCGAAGGCAGAGGCTTTAACCACTGAGCCACCCAGGCGCCCCTATTTTTAATTTTAATTTAATTTTATTTTTTCAGTGTCCCAAGAGTGTTCATTGTTCGTGAGCCACACCCAGTGCTCCATGCAATACGTCCCCTCCTTAATACCCACCACCAGGCTCACCTTATCCCCCACCCCTCTCTCCTCCAAAATCCTCAGCTTGTTTCTCAGAGTCCACATGATTTTCTTTTTTTTTTTTTATTAAAGATTTTATTTATTTATTTGTTAGAGAGAGAGAGAGAGCGTGAGCACAGGCAGACAGAGTGGTAGGCAGAGGCAGAGGGAGAAGCAGGCTCCCCGCCGAGCAAGGAACCCAATGTGGGACTCGATCCCAGGACACTGGGATCATGACCTGAGCCGAAGGCAGCCACTTAACCAACTGAGCCACCCAGGCGTCCCTGCATGATTTTCTTTCCTTTTTTTAAAAAGATTTTATTTTTTATTTATTTGACAGAGATCGCAAGTAGGCAGAGAGGCAGGCAGAGAGAGTGAGAGGGAAGCAGGCTCCCTGCTGAGCAGAGAGCCTGATGTGGGACTCGATCCCAGGACCCTGAGATCATGACCTGAGCCGAAGGCAGCGGCTTAACCCACTGAGCCACCCAGGTGCCCCCCTGCATGATTTTCTTAATAGCACTTTCTTTTCTCTAGCTTATTTTATTGTAGAATACAGTAGTGTACAAAATGTGTATTAATTGACTATGTTATCAGTAAGGCTTTTGGTCAACAGTAGGCTATTAGTAATCAAGTTTTTGTGAAGTCAAAAGTTAAACAGGAATTTCTGACTATATGGGGGGGGTTGGTGCCCCTAACTCTTGCATTGTTCAAGGGTCAGCTATACTTAGGAATAATCTTAACCAAACAAATGAAAGATTTGTACACTGAAAACTATTAAACATTGATGAAAGAAATTAAAGAAATAGGTAAACGGAAAGACATCCCATGTTCATGGGTTGGAAAAATTAATATTGTTAAAATGTTCATATTACTGCTATTCAGCTCAATCCCTATCTGAATTCCAATGGCATTCTTTATAGAAATAGAAAAAAAATTCCTAAAATTAATATGGAACCACAAAAGACTCTGAGTAGTCAAATCAATCTTTTATTTATTTATTTATTTATTTATTTTTAAAAATATTTTATTTATTTATTTGACAGACGGAGATCACAAGTAGGCAGAGAGGCAGGCAGAGAGAGAGGAGGAAGCAGGCTCCCTGCTGAGCAGAGAGTCCGATGCGGCACTCGATTCCAGGACCCTGAGATCATGACCTGAGCTGAAGGCAGAGGCTTTAACCCACTGAGCCACCCAGGCACCCCTCAAATCAATCTTGAATAACAACAAAGCTTTCTGGTTCCACAATATAGGTCAAAGCTATAGTAATAGAAAAAAGTATGATACATAAAAACATACATATAGACCAATGGAACAGAACGGAGGATCCAGAAATAAATCTGTACACTTATGGTCAACTGATCTTTGACAAGGATGCCAAGAATACACAATGGGCAAAGGATAGTCTCTTCAATAAAGGATGTGGGGAAAGCTGGGTATTCCCTGGAGAAAAATGAAATTGAACCCTTATCTCTTGTCATATAAAAAATTAATTTAAACTGTATTAAAGACTTATTTATAAGACCTGAAACTGTAAAATAGGAGAAGAAAATGGAGGGGAAAACTTCTTGACATTCATTGGTCTTGGCAATCAATGGCTTTTGGGTCATGACACCAAAAAGTACAGGCAGTAAAAGCAAAAGTAGGCAAGTGGGACTGTATTTGAAAAGCTTCTGCATGGCAAAGGAAACAAAACAGTGAAAAGGCAACCTACAGAGTGGGAGGAAATATTTGTAAGCCATGTAGCTAATAAGGGGTCCATATCCAAAATACATAGGGAGCTCATATAACTCAACAGCAAAAATCCAAATAACCTGGTTAAACTTGGGCAAAGAATGTGAATTGATTATTTCTCAAAATAAGACATACAAATGGTCAGTAGGTACATGGAAAGGTGCTCAACATCACAAGCCATCAGGGAAATGCAAATCGAAACCACAATGAAATATCACCACACACTTGTTAGAAGGACTATTATAAAAAAAGACAAGAGATTATAAGTGTTGGTGAGGATGTAGAGAAAAGGGAACCCTTGGACACTGTTGGTAGAAAAGTAAACTGGTATGTCACCATTATGGAAAACACTAAGGAGGGCCCTCAAAAAATTAAAAATAGAACTGCCATATGATTCAGTGATTCCACTACTGGGTATGTATCCAAAGCAAATGAATTTGGATCTCAGAGAGAGACATTGGCAGTCCCATGTTCATCACAGCATTATTCACATTAGCCAAGATATGGAAATAACCCAAGTTTCTGTTGATGAATGAATGAATAAAGAAAATATGTGAAGAAAAATAAGATGGAATATTATTCACCCACAAAACGAAGGAAATCCTGCCATCTGTGACAACCTGGATGAAGCAGGGGGACATCATGGGAAGTGAAATGAGCCAGTAAGAGACATACTGTATGATCTCACTT